TCTCGGTTGGTTTTCCCCCCCCCCCCCCCCCCTCCTCACCCATGGACCTGCCCACTGCTCTACCTGGAGCAGAAAGACCGTTCGCTGGAGGACCATACCAGGGATTTTTTTTAGATCTGGCGTGCCTCACGCACTATCCTGACACTCTGTGTTTTTAACCATACCAGCCTCAGCGAGCGGTCTAAGGCACGCCTTCCAGCGAACGATCCCAGAGAACACTTTGTTGCTTTCGTGGAGTTGGTGCTGGTGAACAACAATTCTCCGTTCACCATCAGCCTGGCTGAGGACCACACCAGCCCATCCACCACCAACAAACCGGCACAATGGAGTTGCTAGAGCCCCCCGAAGACAGAGAGCCTGAGAGCCATCACGACTGAAGAGCCAGCGCGAGGAGAAGCGACTGCCATCACCCCAGAGTCTGTCGACATGTCTGACCAGGTGTGTGTGCCGGGAACACCGCATGTGTTACACCCACACTCCCGCCGCTGAGGGTGAGCTGCAACTGGCCTCTGGAAACTATTTAGAGGAACTGATGGACATCTTTGATGTGGATTTAATTGACTGGTTTGGGGAGGTAATACCAAATTCTTCTGAGTCTCCGCTGGTTCTGCCCAGCTCATGTTCTCCTGAGTTCCCACCCAGCCTCCCTCTCCCGCCTCCTCTCCTAAAACCAGCCAGTTCCTCAGTCCTGCCTCCACTTTTTCCTGTCAGTCCCTCAGCTCATCCTCAGTCAGCGTTATCGGGGCAATCTGATTCGCCTCGGGGCTTCCAGTCTCTAGCTCCGCCTAGGCGTGAGGATTCCCTGTCCCATCAGCTCTGCTTTGGCTCCTTGCTCCTTCGTCACCACCGGGCTCCCTCATCCTTCTGGCTCTGCCTTGGTCAGTCGTCGACCTTCCTCCACTATGTGATTCCACTCTTCCGGTTTTGCCTCGTCCCTCCATCCCTCTGAGTCCTCCTTCCCTCCGGATCCACCTTGGTCCTCAGTCGCTCTGGCTCCGCCTTTGGCCCTCCGGACCTCGGGTGTCACCCTGGCTCTCCGTCAGCTCGGCTCCACCTGGGTCTCCCCCGCCAGCAGCTCCGTCTCCATCACTCATCCCCAGGGTGTCGTCTGCCAAGTTTCCACCATGGCTCCTCCCTCCCTTGACTGCACCCTGGGGCCTCGTCCTGGCTGGTCCCTGGACCAACATCTGGCTCCTCCCACCCTCTTCTTCCCCATGGACTTATTTATTGAATTTGGTTTTGTTTTGCCTCTCTCCTGCTCCTTGCCACCTCCAAAACCCACCCTCCCTCCTCAGATGGATTAGTTACGGTGCAAAGATGTACCTTCTGGGAGGGGGAGCTACTGTAACATGTATGCTTTGTTTTCTGTGTGGTTTTTGGTTCTGACCTAGTTTTCCCCAGTCGGTTTAATTAGTCACTGTTCACCTGTTGATTGATTATCTCATTAGTTCCCTTTGTTTGATCTTTGCTTATAAACCCTCAGTTCTCCTTTAATCTTGGTCTGTTCTCGTTTATACTTTTGTTTTATGAGTTTCCTGTGGATTTATCTATTAAAGATTGTTATTGTTAAATCTTCTTCGTCGTGTGCTTCACTAACAACAACCAACCATGACAGTCTTCATGCTGGGCAATATATTGTTTCCATTTTTGTAAATGTTTAATTATGATATAGATTGATAGATATTTTTTTTATATATTTTTTACATAATAAAAAAAAAGTAATATTTAGTGTAGTAGTTGTAGCGCTATGTTAAAATAATAACAACAACATTAGTAATTATAGTTGTTGATGTTATAAGTGTAAAAAGTTGGGTAAAAATCCATTCAATCATTAGCAAATAATTTTTTTCAGTTCACTGAAGAAAGTTTGAATCTTTTTTAAATAATTCGCTTTTTTAAAATTACAATTATATATATCAACTTTTTTTATATTTATAAATAAAAGACTGTAAAGAAATATAATTATAGATATAAACATTCATTTAAAACGTATAATTTGTGTGTAATTTATATTTTTAAATTCAATATAATTGAATTCATAAATTCTATTCTTCTTATTATTTTTAATGTTATTCCACCGTGTTATGTTAAAATGATGTAATATTTAGTCAAAATCAATGTTCATGCACAGGGTTTGTTCTTGCAAACTGTGTTTTTCTCACTCTGTTCACTTTTGGGTCACCTGATTATATATTTTTTACATAATAAAAAAAAAGTAATATTTAGTGTAGTAGTTGTAGCGCTATGTTAAAATAATAACAACAACATTAGTAATTATAGTTGTTGATGTTATAAGTGTAAAAAGTTGGGTAAAAATCCATTCAATCATTAGCAAATAATTTTTTTCAGTTCACTGAAGAAAGTTTGAATCTTTTTTAAATAATTCGCTTTTTTAAAATTACAATTATATATATCAACTTTTTTTATATTTATAAATAAAAGACTGTAAAGAAATATAATTATAGATATAAACATTCATTTAAAACGTATAATTTGTGTGTAATTTATATTTTTTAATTCAATATAATTGAATTCATAAATTCTATTCTTCTTATTATTTTTAATGTTATTCCACCGTGTTATGTTAAAATGATGTAATATTTAGTCAAAATCAATGTTCATGCACAGGGTTTGTTCTTGCAAACTGTGTTTTTCTCACTCTGTTCACTTTTGGGTCACCTGAAAAAAAAAGGACTTTGAGTCTAATTCTTTTAAAGAATCAAGACTAAAGTACAAAAGTATAGTAATAATAAACATTTCTACATGCAGAAAGAGCATGGGTAATACGACTTAAGTTAGTCACAAATGGCATCATGTTAAACTTGAGAACTATTGTTTTAGTGTGATGATATGCTTTTTAGACCTCTTTATGCTTTGAAAATAACCAGCAGCGATATGTTATGTTGATTGTTTATCATAAAATATTCAGATATGTGTTCGAGATCATCTGCTATCTGCTACCATTCCAGTCTTTTTTATCTGTCTGTTCAGATATTTCTATCTGGATGTCTATCCATCTTGTGTTTAACTCCGTCTTTCTGCTGTACAGACGGTGCCCATGTTCCCGTGTTCCCGTCATGTAAGGTTTCATGAGGAGGAAGAGGAGGAGATCGTACGGATTAACCCACGCGAGCGCTCTTGGTTAACGGGCTACGAGGACTATCGCCACGCCACCACAGCGACACGGGCCAAACCTCTGCGGCCAGACGCCACGGACGCTTACGTTCCCCTCGCTAAGAGCGAACCTCCCAAACACGACTACACTTACTCGTACCCACTCAGTGGGGACGGACACACGCCCCGCAATGGCAAAACGGGCATCGGCGGCGGCGTGGTCACCGGTCAGCCGCGGGCGCTGACTGCCAAATGGCTGCCGCGACGCGTGGAGGACAGCAGAGAGCGCTTACGGTGCGTGTACTGTCAAAACATGTTCAGTCCGGCCGAAAATGGACGTGGGCGCTGCCAGGAAGCTCCAGACCCCGTGCAGACGTGCATTCGCCGGGTGAGCTTCATGTGGTGCGCGGACAGCCTGCTCTACCATTGCATGTCGGACCCTGAGGGCGACTATTCGGACCCCTGCTCCTGCGACGCCAGCGAAGAGCGCTTCTGCCTGCGCTGGCTAGCTCTCCTGGGACTGTCGCTGCTAGCGCCCTGCATGTGCTGCTACGCGCCGCTGCGAGCGTGTTACCACTGCGGCGTCGCGTGCCACTGCTGCGGTGGCAAGCACAAGGCCGCGGGGTGAGCGGGAAAAACGCGAGCACACCTGCAGCTGGGAAAAACAACAACTGAAAAGTGGAAGAACGCACTTACGGCTGCATTTGTGTTTCGCTTTGTTGTTTTCTTTTCTCCTTCCCGCTGAATTTCAGAGGGTTGGTCCATTTTTGTTTCGTTTTCTCAATTTAATTGTACTGGACAGCTGTCCTGGTTTGTATTTTTCTTTGTTTTTAAAAGAGTAACCCTCGGCTTCCATTTAAAAGACTACACGATAAATATTCATTTATATATGAAAAGTATATATAAATATATGTAGATATAAATATATAAATCCAGGTACTTTATATTTTTATGCTCATGTGCTTTGAAGGTTTGAGTTGTTATCTTCCTTCCGTCTCGTCTGTGTTTTAATATGTTCGTTTGATTTGATTTTACTTTCGTTATGTCTCTCCAGTCAGAGGCGTCTCTTCTACTGTGATCCACTCCGTCTAGATAAGACAAACCCAGAGGAATCCAAAATAGCTGACCTGTAGGTTGGTAGATCGTGTGTGTGTGTGTGTGTGTGTGTGTGAGGTCAGAACGGATGTGGGAAATGTCATTTTGCCAAATTGCCAATATTAAGTCACTGTGTGGAAGATGGCAAACACATTGCTGGCCAAATGTAAAGTAGGTGTGTGGGTGAATCTCATGTGCAGGTCATATTTTACCCTAAAATCAAAAGAAAATGGGCTTTATTTAGCCCAGGGCTGCCCAAACTCGGTCCTGGAGAGTTTAGCTCCAGCTTGCCTCAACACACCTGCCTGGAAGTTTCTAGTATGCCTAGTAAGAGCTTGATTAGCTGCTTCAGGTGTGTTTGATTAGGGTTGGAGCTAAACTCTGCAGGACACCGGCCCTCCAGGACTGAGTCTGGGTACCCCTGATTTAGCCTATTTTAGGACCTTTTAGCATTGTGGCGTTATTTTCAGTTTTCTTACCAAAGTGTCATTACACTGTAAAAAACGTCAAAATCAGAAACTGCTTGTAAATTTCACAAATTGAATTGAAGTGAAATTTTGAAGTTGCAAGACTAAAATAAAATTTTCTTGATACTCCAATAATCTTTTTTCTTTAACTTTGAAAAATCATTTACAGTGCACCGTAATGCAAAAAATGTCATTGAAATTTCCATGTAATTTCCTTTATTACATAATTGTTTTAATTACATGAAAAAGCGTGCAGCAAATATGACCTATTTATCAATGCTTAAACAGTTTTTCCATATTCCAGTAGAGTAAGGTGTTGCATTGCTGTAATAAATTAACATGCTTGATTATCATGAAAAAATGTCACAATGCAAAGGCCTAAAAATGGGTTTTATTTTCAATAAGTAAAATTTAGCGGTTGCTTTTGGGGTGCGATATGAGCTGAACATGTTCTTAAAAGGTTTTGTGTGATGTATGTGCCTGTTATCGATGTTTTGAAATGAAAACCAGCCTCAAAATCGATGTACCCCTCCTACAGGACGAAAAACAAGATGTCTTTTTTCTCTGCCTTTGTCTTAAGCACAACACAAACCAGTACAACTAACAAACAAGAAAAAGCAACCATCTGAACACTGTGCAAGTTGTTGTGAAGTTCTCAAGATATATTTCCAATCGCTGGCCTATCAGCATCATCCTTCAAAACAGCATCCAGCCAATCAGTGGACTGTGACAGCGTTGTCATGACGACTGTGATCCTGATGTTTTATGTCCTCTCTCTCTCTCTGGTGTCTATCCTCGATCTTCTCCCCCTCTTCCTGTGAAAAGCTTTTGCAGTAGTACTATCTGACGCGTGACTAAAGAGGAGCAGGTTTATTTTTTTATTGGTGTCCAGGAGAGTGAGTTCTCTGTCTGTCTGATGCTCCTGAACATCCTGAGATTAAAAGAAAGTGCCTGAATCAGCCAGTGCGTCTCACCCCCTTCTGTCCATCCTGAAATGTTACATTCACACTCTCGTCTTTTACTCACATTTGGAACATGGTTGTTTCTATTGCAAACGGTAAAACTTGATCACAACCAGGTATTGTGACACGATAATACGTCAGTTCTTGTCGCATCTCTTCCATGTTAATGTGATATTTTCCTCTAACCACAAACTGCTACACAAGTCAAGATCGTTTGCTGATCGACATTTGTTGTTGAGTGCAACAGTAGGGTTTCAGAAGTAAAAATTGTATTCATTTTCTCCATAGAGATGCTAATATTTAGTAACATCATAAATGTTTTGCAAGCTCAGAAACTGTTAAGTGTTGGTATATAATGTCACACATTTCAAATGTATTTAAAAATTGTTCCCAACACTCAAACTATTTATATATTTGTAGATATTTGAATATTTTGTAACAAATATATCAATAAAATATATTGAATATAAATATTTTTGTATATATATATATATAAAATGACATTTTTCACATTCTAAAATGATATTTTTCATATCTCTCTATATATGTATTCACACGCATATATGCACACCAGTGTTTTTGAGCATCAAAAGGATACTATTTTAGTTTTTTTTTTATATTTCTATTTAGCTTTAATTAATTTTTATTTCAGTTTAATTTGAGTAATTTTACTTTAACCTAAACTTATTTATTTCAGATGGTTAAGGCAACATTTTTTGTATTTCTATTTAGCTTTAATTAATTTTTATTTCGGTTTAATTTGAGTAATTTTACTTTAACCAAAACTTACTTTATTTCTGTTGGTTAAGGCAACATTTTTATATTTCTATTTAGCTTTAATT